AAACCGTGGGCTGATTGACACATCTATCAATTTCTCTTCCATGTTGCTCTGGGTCCCACACCACAGGCAAATGTTGTTTCAATGGACATGTTCAGTGTTTAGTCTCTAATTATATGTGGACTGGGACAAAAGGTAATTTTCTAACTTTTCTATACTCTATTCTCAATTAAATATCTGTATCCTATGAGCAATAGTTTGAAAAATGGTCAATTTTACCAAAACTTCTATTTATTAATAATTTCTGCTTTTGAATCCGCACACCATTTAAAAATCAGTGAAAGAGATATGTTTTCTCAACTTGTATTTGTACAGAACCAAGGCTTTCATACCACACTATTTGTTTAGTGAGCTGATATGGGCCCTCTACCTTTTTCTTGTAAGAGGGTCATCAGTTGAGCACACGAGATCCTGAGACATCCCAATAATACTTGTGACATGAAACAGCTTTATTGATTTCTAAATAGCAAATGATCATGAAGTGTGAAAAAATTATCTAGCAATTGGGCTCTGAGATCTTTTAACTATTGAATGTATTTTAATTCTCAAATCTGTATATTTATATATGTATGTATGTATGTATTATTTTTGATGTCTCCCATTCCCCCCTCCCACCTTTCCCCTCTCCACCCAGCCCCAGCCCCATCCCAGGCCTTCACCACACTATTGTCTGTGTCCATGGGCTTTGTCTATCCTATATAATAAAGAGGTAATATGCAAATTAACCCTCACGCCCTCACAAGATGGCTGCCTATGACCAGGCTGGCCCGGGGGTTAATGAGGGACGACCAAATGACTGAATAGCAGGCTGTGTGGGGCAACCAGGCCAGCAGGGGGGAAGTTGGGGGCAACCAAGCTGGCAGGGGGGGTAGTAAGAGGCAACCAGGCCAGTGGGGGGCAGTTAGGAGTCACCAGGCCAGTGGGGGTATGCAGTTGGGGGCGACCAGGTCAGCAGGGGGGGCAGTTGGGGGCAATTAGGCTGGCAGAGGGGGAGTGAGGGGCAACTAGGCCGGTGGGGAGGGCAGTTGGGGGTGATCAGGCCGGCATGGGGGGCAGTTAGGGGCAACCAGACTAGCAGCCAGGTGAGCGATTAGGAGCCAGTGGACCAGGATTGTGAGAGGGTGCAGGCTGGGCTAAGGGGGCCCCCCACACACATGAATTTTGTGCACTGGGCTTCTAGTATGTATGTAAATTCTTTGGTTAATCTCTTTCAGCCCCTCCTACCCGTCCCCCCCCAACCCTCTCCCCCCCAGTCCTCTGAGAGCTATCAGTCTGTTCTATGCATTCATACTTCTGGACCTATTTTGTTCGTCAGTTAATTATGTTCATTAGAATCCACACATAAGTGAAATCATATGGTACTTGTCTTTATCTGACTGGCTTATTTTGCTTAGCATTATAATCTTCAAGTCCATCCATTCTGTCGCAAAGGGTAAGAGATTCTTCTTCTTTTTTATAGCTACATAGTAGCCCATTGTGTAAATGTACCATAGCTTTTTTATCAACTCATCTACTGTTGGGCACTTGGGCTGTTTCCAAATCTTAGCTATTGTAAATAACACTGCTATGAACATGGGAGTGCATACATTCTTTCTGATGGGTGTTTCGGGATTTTTAGGATATATTCCCTGAAGTGTGATCACTGGGTCAGACAGCATCTGAGATATCTGTCATTTTTTAGAACAGCTCACTTCATATGCTTACACCTGGAATAGAGATGGCAGGTAGGACTTTATTTGGGGTAACAGTTCAATCAGCAAATCCTCTCAGTCTAAGTATGAAATTCATGATGTTTAACAACCCATCATCATATATTTGAGGACTAAAGTTATTTCTTTTAATGATGCTGATCATCTTTAAATTCTTACTTATTGCCATTGAACATCTGTGCAGTTTTCTTAATTTAGTTTGTTGCCCAATATACGGTCTTTCAATTTTCTTTCCATATCAAAAGCTGAAATAAACAATAAACTTTAAAGTGTTTAGAGGCAAAGACAAGATCTATGCAATTCTCACTTAATTTTCACCCGCTATTATGTTTCTACCTAATAGATTTTATTTGATGACACATCAATTTTTGTTTAATGGAAGGCAATACAAGGTATAGGTTAAAAACATGATCACTAGCAGTGAAAAGATCTGGGTTTAAATCTGGGTTCCATCTTCCACTAACCCTGCCACCTTGGGCAAATTACTTAATCTCCTAATCTTTTAAAGGAGTGTAGTAGTAGTCCATGTCTCATACAATTATTTTAATAATTAATTGAGTTAAAGTATGGAAAGTATTAGCACAGTGATTGGCTTATATAGAGAAAATATTTAGTAAGTGAGAAAAATAGTGTGCATACAAGTGAGAATGGGGAAAAGACAATGATTCTAGAGTGACATACAGTATCATTTGGCAATCTAACTACCAGAAAGTGATGTTTACTCTTCCCTTGGCCATCCCATAACTTGAATACTGTGATGTAAAATTAACAACTTAAATACTGTGATATAAAGTCAATAATATATTTTATGTTACATGACAAGGGGACAAGAGAGGAAAATAAAACAAAGATATTTGATACACACACAAATATATTTATAACAAAGTAAAATAAGAAAGAAATACTCATTATAAAAAAAGAAAGAAAGTAAACATTTCAACATATTTACAGAGAAGAGTTAAGACAGGCATGTTTTCAAAAGTGCTTGTGTTGTCCTCCAAATACTGTCTGTGGGGATTGCCATTATAATAAGTGGTTTCATTCTATGGTACATATCTTAGATTTGATACATAAATATTGGCTTGCTTTTCAGTCTTCACAAGTATATCCCCTAGACCAGGGCTAAATCTTCTATTTATATACAACATTTAGTGGAGGTCTAACACAGAGTAAGTGCTCAAGGCAAGTTAAATTAAAAAATCTTTAACTCGCACAGTCTAGTAGCACAAAATACAAATACAGCACATACTTTAAAAATGCACAATGATACCTGTTAGGTGTGTGTTTGGGTGCGTGCGCATGTGCACATACGTAAATTAGTGTAAAACAAAGACAACTCAAGGTAAAACTAACACATCTTTGAAGCAAGAGTTACATCTCACAAGTGTTAGTTTGAAATCTTCTTTCAGATGTAGGCATAATTCAGATTAGATCTTTCTAAACAGGTCTACTTTCACAAAAGATATTTGTTGGGCTTATTTTTAGCTAGAAACAAGCCATCGGAGACGTTCCCATTGTAGCTTGTTAAAAGAATCATTAGGAGAGACTGTCTACATGGCTGGATTCATGAAGGCTTTCTCACATTATTTGTCTATATGACTGAAGGACAGACACCATTAATTTTGAAACAATCATTTTCAAATTTAACGAGCAATTTTCTCTTCTCTCCCTTAGCAACTATAGGGGGATATATTACAGTTTCTATGATTCATTGTAACATAATCTGAGATGTTTCTTGATTGAAATTAGACAGTTAGGTCACACATTTTGTTTTCCATTATCTTCTGAGTCTGAATGGAACAAGTCTGAAATTGAGGCATGTAAGATACAAAAGTCTTCTGACCAGAAGTTCCTAAGTTGAAATTATTTTCTACAAGGTGTGAGCAACTGTCCTGAAGGATTCTGATGTCAGTGAATAAACAGTGGGCAGGGAATGGACACAACACCCCTGACTCATCTGTCAGAAACACACTACTCTCTTTTTTCATTGAGGTGACCCCTAAATAATAGACAGACTTTTCATCATTATTTTCTTCAGAGAAATTTCCTTCAAGGGTCAAAAGTTTATCCAATTCTCCTGAGAATGTAAGGTGTGGTGAAATTATATTGGGGTGCTGATCTGATAACATAAAAAACGCCTGTGTTTCTATCTCCCAAGAGCGATTAGATAAGGAATCCTTTGATGGAGAATTTTTGCTAGAGAAGCATTTGCTGACTGAGCTATTGATAAGCCCTTGCTCATCATCAATTGCACTTGACTTAGAGTTGCAGAGCAGGGTGGCATATTTAACAGAGGGTTGTCTCCTGCCTTCATCCTCACAGGTTATCTTGGTGCTCCCTGCCTCCGAGAAGCTAGCACTATTGCGTTGGTCATTAATACAAATGGAACCCTTTTCAAGATCTGCAGTTGTCAAAAGTAGAGGAACCAAAGCAGCCTGCGCCTTCTCATCTTTATTTTTCCGCGACGTATCAACACTGATATCTTCTGAAATGGTTTCAGGCTCCAAGAGAAGAGGACCAAATGTCACTGACTCTGTATGCTTGATAAAAAGCTGCTCAAACGCTTCTGGCTAAAAGAAAAGACACATTTTAATGTTTAATTGTATTATTATCTTTTTTTCCCGCTTCATTATGACATCCTTGCAGAAATGGAAGCGTGAAAGATTGATGCTAAAGGACATAAGTCAACCAAAATTTAACTAGTTTGGGATTGAAACAGATATATCAAAAATCAGAAAGGAAAATCAGTAGATAATGTTTAAAAATAGGATGAGACTGATTTAGGTTTGAGTCCTATTTCTGTGGCGATGGGCAAGTACATTAATCTTTCTGCCTTACATTTCATTTTCTTCATCTGTAAAAATATGTTCAATACTTAATTCATGGCATTGTGGTGAAGAATAAATTAAATAGTATCTGAAAGTGCTTAGCTCTCAAGGAAGACTGATTTTTGTAATTAGAAAGCGCCAGAATCTGAAGAGTTCCTAACATTTAATAACAAATTATATTTCCACAAACTGAAAATGTAAACCTCAACTAAAAAAAGTAAATAGAAATAAAATCAAATTAGCAAGAAACGTGATGTGAGATATGATGTGAAGGTAAAATATTTGTGATTGCTAAGAACTTATCTGCCTTATATCCTACTGAGCATCTGTTTAAGATATCAGAAAATAAGAACTAAGAAGGTGAAAAAAATGATCACAGACTTTTACATTACTATTCCTTATTAATGACTTCATATAAAAAACATGCTATGGGACATGTGAAATGAAGACAAAGACACAAAACAAATGCATATCATATATTTTATAAGAATGGTGGTTACAGCAAAAGAAAAATCCTCTCAAGCATAACACATCAAGAATATGTGTGCAAAAAACACAACTCATACAATGTGAACATACTGAAAAAATAAATGCAAAATAAAGAATACTGTGGACACATCACATTGAAAAATTAACACAACTAAATGAAGTGTTATAGAAAATATGTGCAATTTGTATATCATACATATAAGTGAACTTTTGAATATTATAAATTTTAAACTAATAAAGTGAATTCAGATTTGTTGCCTGAGTTCATAATGGCAAATCTATTCCATATAAAAACATAGTTCATTTAGCAAAGTTTTGAACTGAACTGAAATATATTGGTCATTATAACCATAAAAGAATAAATATACCAAACAGTAAATATAATAATAATGGAATAGGCTTATAAAGATATTAAAATACTGCATAATGACAAATACCATGTTAACATAACCTTTCCATTATTCTATAAACATAATATAGTAAGAGGAACTGTTTCTGTGCCTATTTTCATTCTGACAGAAATCTATACTTAGATTTATTAGTTCCTTCAAATATTTGCTTGTTCATTTTGTTTTTTCTTAAGGCTACTACTATATATGTTTTGAATTTCTTGAAATTTTAAATAACTTAGAAATTAAGATCACCAAATAAAGGAATTACAAACTATCAGTGTGAAAACAAAAAATACACAACATAGCCCATGGAATGCAGTCTAACTCACATATGTTTTTCAAATGACATGTTTGGCATATTCAATGCCCTCTAGGACTTCGTAATTGGTAACTAAAAACTGACCCCATGTCTATGATTGCATTCATTTTAGATGGAAGACTTCACTAATAAATAATTAGAAATCATACACTCATATATTATTGAAGTGTATAAAGGGGTCACAAACCTTTATTAAAAGTATGCTTACTCAAAAGCATCTAAATTACTGAATGCATCTAAATTTTTGAGGTTTTTAGAAGAGTCTGGGAACATATTATATGTTCAGCTGGTGGGAAATAAAGAATGTCTTTTCTTAATTTCACTCAGATTTTACATTCCAATGACATCTATTTAAAGTCAATGAAGGGGAAAAAGGATACCATTCTTTTCATTGTTTAGTTTTATTTTTTTTACATTCAAATAAAACTGTGAATGAAATCTAAATTTAAGTGATCCATGTATAGCCTAAATTTGAATTTTTGTTGTTGTTGTTCATCAAACAAAGACTTTGGTTCATTTTTAATGTGAGCAACAGAACACAGTCTGCTAAGTTCATAGAAACAGCAGGTGGTCTTTTTCAGGGAGAAACGTCCTGTCATCACCATGAAATATCTGTCAAAGCTCCAAAGAGTCTTCCTTCTTGTACCACTGTGCACTCCCTTGCCTGCCAGAAGCTTTGGGAGGTTCAGTGTAAATATATTAAATTCAAGCAAAAATTTTACGAGGAGGCTGAATTGGAAGCTAATGTATTTTCTGGTCAATCTGATCTTGCTATGCCAGGTCATGCTGATATGAACTGTAACTTGCAGAGGCCTGTGACCAGCACAAACTATAACTTCTGGCTTTTTTGAAATGAAATGAAGTTAGCACTTGACCATTTTTGAGACTATAGAAAATGAAAACTCCCAGGTTGACCACATGGAAGTGTCTATAAAAGAATATAAGATGGGAAATTTTGAACATAAAAGTACAAACTAAATACATTTACTTCATCTGTCATTAGAGTCAGTATATCTGCAAAACTACGTGTCAGAAGCTGCTGTTGTTATCTACTGACAACATTGTTTACTCTATATTTGATGATTCCTAATAGATATGTAATAAGAACAACAGTTAGAATTTTTCAATGTTTCATGACCAAATGATCAATCAAAAGCCAGATATCATGAACACTGCTTTTTAAACTTCAGATGACCTGAAAAGTAATCATACATCCAAATTGAACTGGACTCAGACCTTTATCTCCATCCCAAATTTACCCATCTGTTTTTAGTTCTAAATCAACAGATCCATCATAGTTTAGTTCTTAATAGTTCAACCAAATTTTATTTTTAGATTTTCTCCCCTTCTTCAAAATGTAAAAATCTTCTAATACTCTATAGAATGTTGGAAAGTTGGTACATTGGGTTCATCTGTAGTGATCATGATTAGACTTCAAAGAATGTCCGTACTCTGTTTAGATAAAATAAAACAAAATAAGAAAGAAAAATAAAAAAATTACTCAGAAAACAAAATATAAAAGATTCCAAACATTTTCTGTGAGGCATGGGTTCTGGACTGTACATTCTTGTGTTATATAACAGCGCTGCATCGTTTTAGAAAAAGGTAAAATTTTGAACTAAGGTGTCTTCTCTCACTTTCTTAATATCACACTCGTGGACAGTCTTAATTACCTCAGCAAAGGAAAAACTATAGAGGAATAACAAAATAAGTAAGAGGAGAGAAAAAGAAGAAAAGAAAAAAAAAGGGTGTAAGAAACAAAAGTAATATTAGATAGTTTGGAACAAGAAAACAGAATAGAGCAGTGAAAACAAAAATTTAAATGTTAAGAGAAAGAAGGACTAAAAGAGTGAAAAATTGAATCATAATCATAATTTTTAATCTAGAAAAATGATCTAAGAAATCATCTGTACAACTACATATATATATAGCTATATTCAACTACATATGTAGCTATATACTACTGTTCAACTATATATACAAGTATGTACAACTATTCAGCTAAATATATAGCACTATATTCAACTGTTCAACTTCAGATCCTGCTATATACAACTACTCAAATATATATATAACTAGTTCTATACAACTATTTAAATGAATACGCAGTAGCAAAATACAACTATTCAACTAAATATACAACTATATAGAGCTATTCAATCATATATATATAACTATATACAAATTCCTATATAATAAAAGGCTAATATGCAAATAGACCAAATGGTGGAATAACCAGAACCACCAAACAACAGGTTGCTATGACGTGCGCTGACCACCAGGGGGCATGTGTGGAACATATCGGGTGTTGGGCATGGCGACACGGTGGAGCAGGTGAGCGGGGTGCCAGACCAAGGCGGGGCACTGGTCGCTGTCATTGGGGCAAGCCTCTGGTGGTTACTAAAATTTCTTTGCTCTCACGCATGCTGTGGTCCCACCCAGTGCTCGCACCCGCTGCTGGCACTGGAGCCACTGCTCTCACCCACTGCCAGTGCCGGCTCTGCTCGCATCCACAACCGGCACCTGAGCATTGCTCACAACCGCTGTCAGTGCCTGGTGCCGGTCACAATCACTCGGCGTCATCAGTGGGTGCGAGCAGCAGCTGCCAGTCCTGATCACCTGAGGGATTCTCCATCTCCCCTGCTCCTGAGGGTGATTGGGGCAGCAGCCACCACTCGCACCTGCTGACGGTGGCAGTTCTGTCAGCGGGTGCTAGCGGGGCCGGCTGCAGGCAGACAGGGGACCGGGGGCCGTGGTGGGAGGGGCCAGGTGGGGGCATGGAGGATGGGCTGAGACCCGCCCCTGTGCCCAACACAGCCTCATGGCCCACAGTTCCTTTCAAGGTGCACGAATTTGTGCACTGGGCCCCTAGTTTAACTATATACAGTTATTCAACCATATATAGATGTGCAGCTATATACATCTATTCAACTAAATATACAACAGCTATGTACAACTATTCAACTATATATATATATATATATATATATATATATATATATATATATACTACATGAACTATTCAATCACATACACAGCTATATACAACTATTCCACTAACAATATAGCAGTTATATACAACTATTTGACTCTATATATAACTACTAGAGGCCTGGTGCACAAAATTCATGCACTTGTGGGGTCCCTAGGCCTGGCCAGCATTCAGGGCCGATAGGGGCCTTCTAGCTGCCAGCTGGGGCCTTCCTTCCCTGGCTGCCAGGTGCTGACTGAGGCCTTCCTTTGTTCCACACCACCCCATGGTGGTCACCACATGTCATAGCAAGTGATCGAACTCGCGGTCTCCGGTCAAACTCCCAAGGAGAAACTTTGCATATTAACCTTTAATATATAGAGATATACAACTATTCAACTATGTATACAGCTCTTCAACCTAATATACAGCAGCTATGTACAACTATGCAACGATATGTAAAACTACATACAACTATTCCCCTCCCCCAAAGAAAAAGAGAGAAAGAAATCACCTGCTCCACGTATCTCCCCTTTTTTAGACAAAACAATTGAGGCTTAAAGTTGCACAGCTACTTAGAACAGCAAGGACCCTAAGTCGGTTTTTTTCCAGTCCAACAATCTTTCTGTAGCACAGTGAAAGATGACAAGATATCCCAAACACAAACTGTCAGGAGGACATGTTCTTTGTTTTGCTTTTTCTACTTGCTGTGATAGAGCTGAGCTCATTAATTCTTACTCTCTTCTGGATACTTATAAACCAAGGGCATATGCATAAATATGAAGAACAAGAAAATAAACAAAACTGAAGTCATATTTTAGGGAATGGAATACACACTTCTAAGCCCAGTAACATGCACTTCTAAATAGAACTTCTAACTCAAAACTGCACTAGCTCTTCCACATTTGTGCCAGGCCTGCTAGCAATGTCAGGATGCTCCGCCTCAGATCTGTGAGGATGGTGCTCTTCCATGGGCGACTGGGTTTCTTCTTTGGAGGTCTAGAGCAGGCTAAGGAATCTAAAACAGTCTTCGAATCACAGGGAAAAATCCACTTTGTTTTAGCTTTAACACTCCTAAAGGTTGTTAAGTGGAGCACACTCTTATGAAAATAGACATAAATGTAGACAACCAATGAGCGGAATTAGATTTTAAAAATACAGATGATTTGGAATTAGAGAAAGAAAACCATAGACTAGGCAAAAATGCTAAAGAAAGAATGAAAAATCATTAAAGTCTTTTAAACACTGTAAAAGTTGAATTAGAAGACTAATTCAATCTTTTGCCTAATATTCTGATTTTTCTTTTTCTTTTAAAAATTATTTATTGAATTTATTGGGGTGACATTAGTTAATAAAATTATATAGGTTTCAGGTATCCAATTTATAATACCTAATCTGTATAATGCACTGTGTGTTTTAATATTCTGATTTCTAAAGCATTAAGAAAAATGGTGTAGCCCTGACCGGTTTGGCTCAGTGGATAGAGCATCGGCCTGGGGACTGAAGGGTTCCAGGTTCGATTCCGGTCAAGGGCATGTACCTTGGTTGTGGCCACATCCCCAATAGGGAGTGTGCAGGAGGCAGCTGATTGATGTTTCTCTCTCATCAATGTTTCTAACTCTCTATCCCTCTCCCTTCCTCTCTGTAAAAAAATCAATAAAATATATTTTTAAAAAAGAAAAAAAAAGAAAAATGGTGTAGAGAAGTAACCTCATTCAAGACGGAAGACTGAGCATATATGCTTCTCTCTCATCTCTGTAGAGACTCTGTTAGAATGAAAATACATGAGTAAATCAAATGCATACCCACAACAAAGATGATCTGAGAAGGTTAAGAAAGAATCAGCTTTGTAATCCATCTTTTAAAAATGGAAAATGACTGAATGAGTATAGACCAAAGATGATGAGCAAAGAAAGCTGCAGACCAGAACATCTCCAGAGCGGGCTGTAGCTGGAGAGAAAGCCAGTTTGCCCAGTTGGAGATGGTGCATGAAGAAATAAGTGGCAGGTAAAAATACAGGAAGAAATGAGAGCTGAGGCCGGAAACTGAAAACTCTGCCAGGGAATGGCCTCTTCTACTTCTCTGCTGCACATCAAGAACTTTCGTATTAGAACTACCCTCCACACCCAACTTGGGTTTTTGTTTTAAAAGTAACTAATGAGCTAACTCAGCATCATGGGTGGGTATATCTTTCCTCATCTGTCTACCCACGTAGGGCAACAATACCTGTCTATATGCCTGGGGCTCCCAGTCAGCCTGTCTACTGTTTCACTCTTAAGCAAGAAAGGAAAACAAAAGATTATTATCAGATATTTGGGGAAGTAAGATAAAGAAAAGGCAAGGCCAAGAAAAACAAAGGAAAAACATGATCCTAATAAAAACAGAGAATTCAGGGAATAGAAGAAAAGAGAATTTTTAAAACAAACGATCCTCTAATTGATATTTCGAATAAGATTTAACAAAACATTGCATGCATAAAACTAGGACAGAATACTCTTAAAAAGAATATTTGGAAACTTACAAATATAATAGTAAATAAAGTTCAACTGAAACACTGGAAAAATAAGTTATGGAAAGGTCTCAAATGTAAGACAAAAACACAAAGAACAGAGAAAATATAATGAAATATAGAATGAAATATAATGATATAGAGAGAATCTAAAATCCAATGAATACAGACTCTAGAAAGAGAAAATCAAAGAAATAAGAGAAAATTGTCAAAGAAATAAGAATTTCTTAGAGTTGACTAGAGACAGAATTGAAAGTATTTTCTAATGATGACCAAGTTAAATGAAAAAAGACCCTTCCTATAAAGTACAGAATAGGGAATATAGTCTATAATTTATAATAATAAGAGCATAATATGCTAATTAGACCAGATGTCCTTCTGGACATTCTTCCAGATGACCTTCCAGATGAAGGCAGGGCTGTGAGGGAAGCCCGGGTCCCAGGTGCCAGAGGGAAGCTGGTGCTGGCAGCTGGGGGAAGGAAGGCTGGCTCTTGCATGAATTTTGTGCATTGGGCCTCTAGTGTTATAGTAACTATGTATGGTTCCAGTTGAGTTCTGGAAATATAGGGGTGATCATTTTGTGGAGTATATGATTGTCTGACCACTATGCTGAACACCTGAAAGTAATATAGAATGATACTAAATGTAAAAATAAAATGTAAAAAATAAAATTGAAGAAAAGAACTTCCCTAGACCAATCACTAACATTTTTGTTTTCTTTTGTGTTAGAACTGAATATACCACAATTTGCCTGTCCATTTTTCATTTGAGGGACATTTGAGTTGTTTCCACATTTTGGCTATTATCCTATATAATAAAACCCTAATATGCAAATTGACTGAATGGTGGAACGACTGGTTGCTATAATATGCACTAACCACCAAGGGGATGACACTCAATGCAGGAGCTGCTCCCTGGTGGTCAGTGCACTCCCCCTGTGGAAGTGCCACTCAGCTAGAAGCCGGGCTCATGGCTGGCGAGCCACTCCCACCTCCACTGCAGGCTGGTGGTAAGGAGCGAGGGGTCCCGGACTGCGAGAGGGATGTCTGATTGCTGGCTTAGGCCCACTCCCCCTGGGCCTAAGCTGGCAGGCGGACATCCCCTGAGAGGTCCTGGACTGCAAGAGGGTGCAGGCTAGGCTGAGGGACCTCTCCCCAGTGCATGAATTTCATGCACTGGGCCTCTAGTAAATTATAAATAATGCTGCTATGAACCTTCATGTACAAGTTTTTGTGTGAATATATTTGATTTTTATTGGATATATAGGTAGGAGTGGAGTTGTTGGGTCATATGGTAATTCGATGCTTAACTATTGAACTGTCAGATCATTTTCCAAAAGGGCTGCACCATTTTACATTCCCATAGGCAGTGTATAAAAGTTCCAATTTCTCTACATTCTCACCAATACTATTATCTGTGTTTATATTCTAGCCACCCTAGCTAATGTAAAGTGGTATCTTGTGTTTCGGACTTATTTTACCTAATGCCCAATGATGTTGAGCATCTTTCCATTTGCTTACTGGCCACTTGGAGAAATGTCTATTCAGATCTGTTACCCATTTTCTATTTCATTAAAATATGCATAACATAAAATTTACCCTTTAAGTATATTTAAGTATACAATTTAGCGGCACTAAGTATATTAAGCAATTAATTGTTAATATGGAGTTGATGGCAAGATAATCAGTTTGAGTCACATGAACCTCTGTTGGCACTGAGGCTTTCACATGCATGGCTGGATAGATCAAGACAAAGTGAATCACTCTCAGCTTCAGTTTTCTCATCAGAAAATATGATGCAATTAGGCCAATGAGAGAATTAAATAAAGTAATGTGAATATAAAAGCAAAGAGCAGTTAGCACATTTACCTGGTACTCTTAGGTAATATAACATGATTTACACTGTATTATTTTTCCTTAAAAAGTAAATTTTAGTTATTTAGGAGATTAAAGCAATGAGATTAAAAAGTTACTAAATTTTAGAAGATTTTTATCGTTAGTAAGATATTTGAAATTATATTCTTTTCCACTCCAAATATTCTTGCTATATTTCAAAATCTGAGTTATTTCTAATTGTGTTATTTGTATAGCTATTAATCCCTGGTAATAAACTAAGCATCTTGAGGGCTAGTTTTGCTTAAAAGAAGAGCTTATAAAATTATGAAATTAAATATTTGCAGAGGTTTTAAAAAAACCATCTTACATAAGTATAAGTTTAATTTTGATAACTGAATTTTTCAAATTACAGTGTTTAATCATGGGATTATTTATATTGTTTTTTTATCTGATTTAAATAATTATGGAAATAATTATAGGTATTAAAAATACCGATTCCAGCCCTTTGCCTAAGGACAATAAATTTATACCAAAACCCGTTCTCCATCAGATTTGATTCCTAATATTCTAATATTTATTTTATTACATAGTACTGTGATACATAAGAGATATGCATATTATTAACTTTCATATGATAAACTATCTATTGAATTTTGTATCCCTCAGTACTAAGTCCTTATATCCTGCTACTCTTAGAAATATATAGTAGATTAAACAGACTCATATTCAAATGAATTGAATAAAAAAGAACTTTTAAACCTTAAAAATGTTTAAAGCTCTGGAAGGCATATGACATCTAAAATACAATCTTATATTTGGGGTTAAGAAAATTGAAAAAGGGACCTTTTGAAAATTAAGTCCTTGTGCCCAGGAACAATTCTTGGGGTTTGGAACATCATCCCAAAACAGCTTCTTCATTCTACAAAAGAAAAATAAGGCACTGGAATCACAGAAAAACATTCATATCAAAACTATTAACAGTTAATAAATGTATAAACTAGAAATTAATCCCCCAGAGCTACGCCTTAGGAGGGGCAGATTCATTTTCACATGCTATCACAGGAAGATTTCCACCAATGAGCTGTCTAGACCAAAGTTAATAACCATCTATATATATTAAAGCCTAAGTGACATTTAGGACCTAATTACTGGAACCACTGGAACCACTGGTCGACCAGTCACTATGACGCACACTGACCACCAGGGGGCAGATGCTCAATGCAGGAGCTGCCCCTGCTGGTCAGTGCACTCCCACAGCCAACCTCCTGCAGCCTCCTCCCCACCCTGGCCGGCCAACCTCCCATGGCCCCTCCCCCTGATGGGCCAACCTCCCATGGCCCCTTCCCCTGGCAGGCCAACCTCCCACACCCCTACCCCCGGGCTGGCCAAACTCCCAGGACTCCTCCCCCTGCCCGGCCAGCCTCCCGATAGGCCTTGATTGCCAGTCAGGCCAAGGGACCCCACCTGTGCATGAATTCGTGCACAGGGCCTCTAGTTATAATAATAAAAATAGCAAACACTTATAGAAAACTGTGTGCCAGGCACTTTGCATTTTTCTCAGAGAAAATAAAATATTAAAAATGGTCATCAAGTGAGTTTCAGAAACAAGTCTACTCAATATGGCCCCATCAGCTCACTTGACCAAAAGATAAATTCTGATTCTAAAATGGACTCTCCCTCTTTTGTGCTAAAAGACAAAAGTTTCTGCAGAGATTCATTCTGTAAAACTCATTGGTCCAGACCTCTCAGCACAAACCCACAAGAAATTCAAGGCCATTTGCCAAACCAGATTGACTAGAGCCAGCAGTGCTGATTTTTAAAAAGCAGAGTGCTTACTGGTTATAAGTGGACTGCCTGCCACAGGTAAATTTTCACCACTCAAAGTCCTCAACCCAAATTGCACAACTCTGAAAGCCATTTTGCCACCTCCAAGAACATACAGCCTAGGCTTTCCTATAATAGGCTTGTTATTTCCTGCTTGCATTTCAGAAAAGAAATCATTTTTTTCCATGAAGTTTATGTTGTGCTAGCAAAACAGAATTTAGCTATCTGAAAATAGGCCTTTTCTTTTTATGCCATCTTAAAAATATTTAGGGTATATTACTTCTGATTTGTATTGTAAATCAAGGTTTAAATATGCTGAAGTTTCATACCTTTGATGTAATATTAGCAATGCTCCAAGCAACAGGGTTAATGAAGAAATAATTATTGGCACAATTACATATAGACCTGCATCAGTCTGGTGTTTTTCAATATCATCTGGAAAAGAAATGCAATTCATGCAATTCAGAAGCTTGAGGAAAAAAAAGTATCTTTCTGTATCAATAATTATAATAGACTTTTTCCTAATTTCATCCTAGATCTGTATGACCTCTAAAATATAAAAGTAAAAAAGAGGAAGATAAAAGGATAGTTACGATCCCATTAATAAAATGATTATTATTGTGTTCACAATTATGCTTATTGTAATTTAGCGAAATATTGTTTTAAAAATTATTTGTGAATTCTCTCCCTCTGCTCCCTTTTAGATTATATGAGCCAAAGGGCCAATTAAATTTGTTATGATGACTCTGTCTGAGCATCTGCTTCTAAAGAAGCCAACCTACGACACCTGCCAATCTCTAGCTTGTTCAGTCCAGACACATTGACCTCCTTGCTGTTTCTTGAATCACTAAGCATGCTCACTCATCAGTACAAAGCACTCCTCTGTACTTCCTAGCCCTTGCTGAAATGGTCTTCCCCTTTGTGCTTGCAAAGCTCTACTCAAATATCATCTGCACAATGAAAAAGACAAATGTTGGCCGTTCTAACTACCACACCACATTTTAAGTCTATCCCTTCATCTTACTTCATGGCACTTTTATCTGACATTATATTATACATGATTTGTTTATTGTCTCTCACTCCCATTGGAGTCCTGGAGGTTAGAGAATGATGTTCACTGTTCAAGTCCCACTGCTTAGAAGAATTCTCATTTGTTCAATAATTCATTAATGAATTCTTTTAATTATTTTCATTCTAAAACCAGGCAAAATGTGTATCTCTTGAAACTTCATTATTGGTGTGCTTGGATGTGAAGACAATTTAAAAAGTAATAGTAAAATGTAAATATGCCAAATATGGTAAGATGAATCAGAAATATGAGAGGCCCAGTCTATGACAACCTCTCCAGTTTTATTTTCAGAGGAAAAATTATTTCCTTTAGAAGACTGATTAAAATTTATGGACTCACAAATATATGCTCCCAAACATATTCTTTGGGGAAGGTGCATTTATATACATTATATAAAAATGTTCAGAAAAATAATATATTTCTAACTAGTCTTTATGAAGATGTATTTTATTATATAGCTGTGTATTTCCCTTTATTTTGTTTGCATCAACTTTTTACCCAATTTGAGACTAAAAATTTTACTTACCAATACAAGAATTCAATACCGTGCCTGATTATTCTCTTTCTTACTACCACCTTGGAACCACACATCCTGACTGCATGTACCCTGGAACACATAAGATGCTGGACCCTTGCACTATTTTATCAGGAGAATAGCCAGATGGCAACATTACCACTACACAGGAAACCATTCATCTGTATAAAAAGAAACTGAAAGTAAAAGTTTTACCTTGGGTAAAACTATTAATTATCTTCGGTTTCCCCACTCCTTCCATAAATATAGGGTAAAGACTGAATTGATACTTCTCAATTGGGATAAAATGATCTGAGGAAATAAACATATTAAAGGGTCATTCTTACTGAATTCATATAAATGAGTGAAATCTATATAAAACATTTTTAAGTGACCCTCCTATATTTCCAAACATAGAAATTAGTTGTTATTATGGATTGAAACTGATAATTAAAGGAATTTCAAAACAACCTCAGAACTCCAAATTTCTTTAATAATGACAATAATTTTACAAGTAACAGTTTTAAAAATCTTACCCAGAGATAGGAAATGGCAATTTTTCAAAGACATGTTCCAGTGATAGCCACTTTGTTCAAGTTCGGGGTATATAAGTGTTGTACTACCCTGTCCAGGACAGTATGCTCTACCTCTTCTCCTGTATCTCCAAGGTGAGCAATATTTCCTTTACACAGGAATTTAGCTACTTAGTTTTCCTACAAGGGCAGCTAGAAGCCTCAAGTCTTGTGAAATCCTATATTAAAAAGATAGGGGTGGGAACCAGGAATCTCCTTGCAATATCCAAGAGTCTAGATTACTGAAGGATGGCCATCTCCGTTGCAAAGCTCAAAATGAATCTATCAAGTGCTATTAAGATATAAAAATGAGTTCACAAGAGATAAATCTCTTTGAAACCTAAAGTCCACATGATATAATGAAAAGCACAGAGAGTAACCACCTGGATAATAGTGGTAATGAAATGAATTTAGTTTTCTATCAAGAATTTGTTTCTATTTAGCCTAAGGCTAAATTCTAGGTCTCTGAAATAAACATATGAGTCTTTGGGATGAGATTACACAACTAGAGGCCTGGTGCATGGATTTGTGCACTCTGTTGGGGGGTGGTATCTCAGCCTGGATTATGAGAGGGCACAGGCCAGGCCAAGGGACCCTACCGGTGCACAATCAGGGCCAGGGAGAGACACAGGAGGTTGGCCAGCCGGGGAGGGATCATGGGAGGGCTCCAGGGCATGTCCGGCCCATCTTGCTCAGTCCTGATCGGCTGAACCCCAGCAGCAAGCTAAACTACTGGTCAGAGCATCTTCCCCCTGGTGGTCAGTGCACATCATAGCGAGTGGTTGAGCGGCCTTAGCATATCATTAGCATATTACACTTTGATTAGTTGAATGGATGACCAGACACTTAGCATATTAGGCTTTTATTATACAGGATAAGATCAGGGCAATCCTTGGCTTCTCTATACTTAAACCTAACTCAGAGTTGGAATGCTGTATTGTGCACTTAAACTTTGTAATCACCTCCTGGGGCAACTGGTCTACTTTTGGGAGTTTGTGCTGGTTATGTCCCCAGGTCCTAGATCCTCAGACCTTCAGCATGGCACTTCCACTCATTGCGAGTGGAGTTATAAGTTGGCACACAATTCAAGAAAACAACTTGGCAGCAGATATCAAAAGCCATTACAAATTGGTTTAAACATAAAGCTGAAAGCAATGGAAATAGTTCTCAAATAAACAGTTTAAGTAGATTTTGGCATAAAATGCAATATGGTCATTAAAAATAATAAGTAAAGGGATAGGGGAGAAAATAGAAACATGTTTGTGATATACCAAAGGAACAAATCAGAAGGAGAGTGGTAAATTACATGGTATGATGACCATTGTGTAAAATATTTAAATGAAAAAGGATCAAATGAAATAGAATTAAATGTTTATGGTAAGGTGATAAAATTACAAGTATTCAGATGGTATTGTCATCTATATTTTTCAAGTTTTATTTAATTAACTGGCTCTATTAATTGAATTAGTAATCTGTAGTATCATACTAACCCATAAGAAAAACTTATTAAAGTATAGTAAACTTACCATGGATATAATACCTCTTAACAGACGAAGGGATTCTACGCCATTTAATTTCATTGTCTTCATTAAGAATTTTCCACTCAAGAATAAAATATATCAGATTGTAATCACTAAGTGATAGCATCCAGGAAAGAATCACACAACTACTATTTAAAGGATAAGCATTGAGTGACTGCACAATATTTACTGAGGAGAAAAGAAAAATATTTATTTTTAAAATCAAAATTAATGAAAATCTCCTAATACCCTTGAAGAACATATAAGCTCCTGGAAAGGGAGAGAAGGAATGGAAGGCAGACATTTTCAAGTCTGAGCAATTACTTGCATCCATATAATATGCCATACTATTACATATATTTATAATCCATATAACCCATGTATAATCCATATAACACATGTATACATGTAATTGTGCATATCAAGAGAGAGACAGAGGGGGAGAGAGAGGGAGAGAGAGACAGAGAGAGATTGATTGATTTACCTATGACCATCACTGGTCCAAAAGCATTAGATTTATTAGAATATTCTCACATTATAATATCATTTCAACCATGTTCTACCACATGAAAACCCCAAGACCATATACATAATCAGAGTACCATCTAGTTTGCTATTTTTCAGACAAAGAAGAGATCAAGGTAAAACAGAAACTTTCAGATTCAGGGAATCACAGGTTTCTTGGGAGACCATTTAGAATGGAAGGAGTTTACAAAGATTAAATATTTAAAAGGGCACAGGTTTACTACCCTGTACTTTTTCAATTACCTTTGCTCATAGGCCATGAGAGCGTTAAATTAAAATTTGCAAAAGAGGCACCAATCGAATTAACAGCCAGAACTGTAACAGTATGTGTTTGCTCTGTCCATTGGAAAGTGAATTTGGTGTGGTTGCCCACATCTTCTGACCATGTTCCATTGCGGGCAGTGTGATGCTTTACTACATATCTTCTCACACGGCACAATGAATCATTTTTCATCAGGGGCTGGAGTAAACATAAAACTGGATTAGTTTAAGGGCTACAGTGCTCTTTACACCAACTGTGCTCACGAACTCTTACTATACATTCCCACTGGGAGGCAGGGTCAGACCAGAGGCAGCACTGCCTATGTGCAGGCTGAGGTAGGAGGCGGTGGGGGAGGGGAGGGTCTGCCTCTGACCACAGGCTAGGTGAAGGTGTCAGGTGGGTATGGAGCATAGCAAAGTTATTTTCCCTCTCCTGGTTTTTTTTTCTCTCTTAATATTCAGAAAATAAATCATTGGAAGATAATGAAGTATGAATACAAAGTTTTTCTACCAAAAAGTTTCGCTCTAATTTTAAAGAAAAAAAAAAAAAAAAAAGACCGGTAGAGAAAAGCTGAAAAATGTTCTTCATCATCATATATTAATCGCAGTAAAATCGTCACTCATTTTCCCTTCCCTTGATATTCTGCCACTTCAAGTAACAGAAGCTGTCAGAACAGTGTGCATGGCACCCCAGAATTTCAGTCCAAGGCTGAAAATAAATCATACCAGGTCACTGACAGTTCCAGTGTAAAATACAGATTTAGTCCAATTCCAGTCCTCCACTCTACAGAATACACCACTTCTCCCACCGCCTTCACCTGCTTCAGGTAAGAATAAGTGCTGCCAATCCTTTGTAAACCCCAGAAAGCTTGACTCTACAACAGACTAGACCAGTGCTGCTGCTCAATTCTTTCCTTCCTTCCTTCCTTCCTTCCTTCCTTCCTTCCTTCCTTCCTTCCTTCCTTCCTTCCTTCTTCCTTCCTTCCTTTCTTTTGTCACTGAGGTTCCTATAAGTCAGATATCAGAAAAAAAAAACACACAAGCACATACACATCTACCCCTACAGGGCCTGAAATAACCTGGGTGAGTGAGGAATGAGATTCTTGCAGCAAACATTGCAAGAATGAAATGTCTGAAAAATCATGCATATTTCACATTTCATTTTGTAAAATCCATGTCAGTTTTCATATACAAATATTTACTTTTGTAACCATCGATTAGAAATGATGATAAACTTCCTTACTTTTTGGTACTAGGAAGCTGCTCTAGGCTCATCTTGTGGATTTCCTGCCCCGGTCCCAAACCAGCCATTTTCAAGGAACTTTAGTTCCTTTCATTGGAGAATGGTATTAGAAATACCATTAGAAATACAAATCTGAGCATGCTCCTTGTCACTGGAGTGTCGTTACTCGAGTGCAAATCAAGATAATATATGTGTGTATACTAATATTTATATCTATAAATACTTCTAAATGCATCCATCTGTAGCCATATTAAGCTAAACAGAAGCTCATACTGATGTCTCCAACTCTAAGCCCTCACCATACGGGTCATTCTGGTCTTCTGCCCCTAGATTCTCTATAACCAATCCAACTATGAGACATCTGGGTCCCACCATCCACACCCATTTCCTTGATTATTCAATTCCAGTTTACATGTACAGTAGTATAAGAATTGTTAACCCATAATAATTAACATTATCAAATAGAACCCAGTGCATAATGCCACTTCTTTTGCCTTAGTTTTAAGAATCCATGCATTTACAAAGTTACTTAGGCCTGCACTTTTTTCTCCCACCTCCTTCAGTGAGGTTTTGCATACACTTGTAATACAGTTAGATTCTTTTGTCCAAGTCTGGATTCCATCCCGGGATCCTCCAACCCACTAAGTGATTTATTTTTAATTTGCATACATTAAGGGTTGCTCTCTATGGGTTTTGACTAATGCATATGTACTCACCATACTGTGTACCCACCATGGCAATCTACAGAATAGTTTAACCACCATAAAAAATCCCTTGTGCTTTACCTATTCAAACTTTTCATCATCAGCCAAACCCCTAGAAACCACCAATATTTCTATCTTCTCTATAGTTATGCCTTTTTCAGAATGTCATGTATGTGGAATCATTATGTAGACCTTTCAGATGGGCTTCTACCACTAAGCTACATGCATTTAAGATTCATCCACATCTTTTTGTGGCTTTATAGAAATTTCTTTTTATCACTGAATAACATTCCACTGGACGGAAGTACCATAGTTTGTTTAGCTATTCATCTATAGAAGGATATCTTGGTTGCTTCCAGTTTGAAGTGATTATGAATAAAGCTACTATGAACATGTATGTGCAAATTATTATGTGAAGACAAGTTTTCAAATCAGTTGGGTAAAGAGCTAATAGTATGATGCTGGATCATATGGTAACACTGTTTAACTTTGTAAGAAACTACCAAACTATCTTCCATTTTGTAGTCCCACCAGAAAAGAATAAAACTTCCTGTTGCCTTGCATATTTGCAAGCAATTTATTATCCATTGTTTTTTTTTTTATTTTAACCATTCTAAGAAGTATGTAGTGGTATCTCTACACACTTGTTGTTGGAATTTGTAATTCCCTAATGGCAGATAATGTTTGCTGTGGACTGAATGTTTGTGTTGCCCCAAAATTGTGACAAAAAATAATCCACTCACTTGGGATACAAAATTCATATAGTAGAGAGAATGTTTTGAAAATTGTTAGGCTGAATATCCACTGTTTATGGAAATATCCACAGTTTATATGTCATCATGCAAAAAGAATATCTCTTGTTCTAGATGTCCTTGAGGTATGTGGAGAAGGCATTTACTTTGTTTAGGATTAAATATAAATAGAATTCTTGGACTTGAAGGAACATTAGATGTCATCTGGTGCAATCCTACTTTTATACAGATTAGGCTAAAGAGTTCAGGTGACTTTGCCAAAATAGTACTGACATAACTATAATACCTTAAGCTGAGAATAGAACTAAAGTCTCCTAACTCCATGCTGACACATCCTCCCCTAGGGATCTTAGCTATCTGTGATCGTCTCTTAAAATGGAAATGAAATATGGGATTGCAGAGCCTAAAATTATGAACAATGAAGAATAACATAAAAAAGCAGAAATACTTTCCAAAGTAAAGTGACATTTCTTTCCTTTTTTGTACTGTCTTCATGAATTATTCTCCAAAATTCAGGTCCTTTGATAGGAACTGCAAAACAACAAGGAGCCCAAGTTGTACTTGTATTCTCAGAGGTAATATTTTTCAGTCATAGCATTTGAAACACACACATGCATTTTTAAGACACGTTTACAAAATCTCTACAGACCTTTTACATCCATGACCACTGTGTAGGCTGGAGTACTCCAATTACTCCAATATCCCAGTCCATCCAGCCTCTTACAGCGCACCTGAGCAGCGTAGACTGCACACAGGTCTGGCACCGGGAGACTGACAGATTTTGATTTTGCATCATATACCTCATGCATCTGTAACATAAGTCAATGCATTAGATTGATCATGACTCACACACAGGTGGCTAAAGGGCCCTGAAGTACACTTTATTTTAAACCTTAACACTATTCCCAATTGAAGAGTAAACTGACTTCATGTCTTCTGGCTTTGGAAATACTCCTATCAGGCTTGGATCATGAGCTCCTTCAGGTTAAGGACTATCTTAGTCCCCTTGTTGTAACCAGATTTGGACTGGTTCACTTGCAGCCTCACTTCCCAATCGTTCTCATAAGCCTATTATTACACATCTCTGTCCACTAAGCCTCTATCCACAAAAACTATTAAGAATTTTAACCTAGTAGTTAATAGGGCCTGCTGTGGAGGATCTCTGATATTCAATCTCCTCAATAAGCAGGTAAAGAATCACATTCATTTCAGTTACAATCATCATGACCTAGTGATGTTTGTAAGTCTTTGCAGGCTGCCATCAGACAACTGACACCATGAGTCATCATATGCACACTTGCACCTAGGGGTATGATTCTGGTTATTTGGTAAAAGCAGCTTCTTCCAAAATGTATTCCATTGGATACGTGTACTAAAGAATATAATTATATGTTGGATAAAAAGGGGCTTATTGGTAAAATAAGTTTGAGAAACATAAGATGAAGTAAATTCACAAATAAATGTTTCTTTAATGCAGGACCTTTCCTAATCTTTAATATGTAATAAACTATGACTTTACACTAGGAACATACAGTGATACAGGGTTTCCTAAACTTGTTTAACCATGCAAGCTTTTTTAAAGAAACATTTTATGGGGCCAATGGTAAAAGCTCACTTTTGGAAATGATAGATTGTAGGAAATTTTATTTCTTTAAAGGGTTAAACTTAGATCACTGTAACAAAAATAGCTACAGAATACAGAGGATATACTAAATAAATAAATCTTATGACAACAAAGTAAGTTGCAATAAAATTATTAAAATAGTCAGAAATAACATTTAGTGAAACAAGCTAAAGAAATTTCTAGATAAAAGTTACCTTCCACTGTATTTCTTTTCCATTTAAGCCATAACGAATCTGGAACTGAAGATTATTCTCTGGAAAAATGGGCTTTTTCCAAGATATTTTCAATAATCCAATTTTTGCAGTAATTTCTGCTTTCACACTGGATGGAGGCAATGGTTTTACTAGAAATTTTAAAAAAAACACAGTATATGTAACAGTAATGATGTTTTAAAAACCATTCTTATGATGTTCTATTTCCATACCTTATATTTATAAAGCAGTAGCTCTTTTTCAAAAAATGTCACATCCCTTATCTCATTTGCTCCCCTACAACTTTATATAATAAATACAAAAGGGATTATTTTGCAAATAGGTTGATTCTTTAAAGATCAATACATTGTCCATGTCACTCTGTTTATAGTAAGACCTGATTAGAAATTGAGCCCTTGGCTCTGCATGCAGAAGATACCATACTGAACACGGGATAAACATTGAGAGCAAACTCTGTTCCATGTAGAGCTTTAATTAAAGGCAAAAAATATGCACTGCATCCATTCCCACACGTGTGAATTTCAAACTCTTCTACTATCTATTAGTAAGTATTTCTGGGTCAAGGTCAGAGGTAGTCTTGCAGAGTGAAGACTTGGCTCTTTAAAATCTATGAAAAACAGGCTTTTTTTTTAAAGCCGTATTTTTTAAATTTATTATTATTATTATTATTATTATTATTATTATTTACAATATACAAAATAAATCAGTCTCCATGCAGTCTCCACTTTCAGTTCTTGGGTATTAGGGTTCTTTCCTTCAAGTTTTCCATTGATTATTCAGGAAGTTTTTCTGTATTTTAGTTGTAATTCCAGTTGGTTCCTGGGCATGTCCATGCAGCATCCACTTACTCTGCTGCCATTTTAAATCTCCTTTAGTTGTATTTTTTTTTAATTTTATTTTATTGTTTAAGGTATTACAAATAGTAGTACATATATCTCCTCCCCGCCCCCCTCCCCTCCCGCCCCAAATTGACCTCCCAGGGGACAGAAATGGAGGCAAAGGTGACTAAAATGTCAAGAACATTTTTTTAAATAAAAAAAGACAATGTAGCAACACAACATATTTGGAAATCAAAAGTCCCAATGCCCAAGCACAACAATGTGACTTTGTGTGGAAAAAGAAATCTAAACATTATGAGTTTATTTTCTATTTAACAAAATGAAGGTTTTAACTCTGATGTGTATGTACTAATTATTTGAAAGTATAACGAATCAAATAGTGATTTTTGGCATATTTTCCCAACAAAAATAGTACAGAGCACTGAAATGTATTCTTTTATCTCTGTTGCACAATCATAAATGGATCCTTTCTCAAAGCTTCCACAGTAATAATACTGGATGGATATATCAAATTTTCCCAGGGTCCTCTTAATCCTTTGAAATCAAAATGTGTTTTGAAAAGAGTATTTAAAATTTCATCATGGATGTCATCCTTCCTTGTCTATTTTCTCTTCTTCACTTGACTTTAGCTATTTTGAATGCTGCTCCCTACACAGCCTCATAAATTAAAGCCTTGAGTTATTACTATTCAGATTACAAAAACCATCAGAATACCTAAATTAAACTTTGAGATTTAAAAACTCCAAATGTTTCTATAAGTACATTGGGGGGAAAAAATACAAAGTAGTGCATTATTAATAATATTATTAAATTTCACTCATCAAATAGTATGCTGAAAATATTCCTATTGCTAAAAAATTGTGCTACAAAAATTTTAAAATACAGTAAATATAGTAAAACTTTCAAATGCTGATTGTCTTCTCAATTTCACTATGAGCAGAACAAATATTTAAATCTAATATGACCAGAAAATATGTAGTAAAATACAACTGCCCTGAATCAACCTAAATCCAAGTCTGCTGGTAAAAATGAAGACACACAGCAATTTAACTTACCCATGGAATCAGGAACAACACACGTTGGAGGAGAATCCAATGAACCCAGAGAGTGATTGATCCTTATCCACATTGTGTAGCCGGATAATAGAAAGATTGGCTGAAATATGCATTCATAAAAACCATCTCTCTGCAAATGGCAATCTTTGGGTTCAGAGGTGGTATGAATAGATGGAACATCAGAACAATAAAGGCTGCTCCTTGAAAGACATGAAAACAGTCTATTAATATACAACATTGATGGAAGCAGTAAGATTTGAGAATTCTGCTTTGCTATTTAAAAGGTACCGGTTTTGCTCCATCTAAAAGTAGTTGTCCTTATTAAACAGGTATTTTAGAATTCCCAGCTACATCACAATCTTGTTTTTCCATAAAGGCAGACAGTAACCCTTATTAAATATTTCACTAGACACTAAGTGGGAATGCAAATAAATTAAATGGCATTGCTCTAGCAAGGAGATAATGACCCAGTTATAGAAAGACCTATTAACACTTTGAAAGCTAAGCTAATATTATACCTATGTAATACCATTTTAAAACTATAGGCCAAAAGCAGTAGTGGGCATCCCTGAGATGGGAAGGAAAATAATTTCCTTACACTTTCAATACAGATTAAATTCTACCACAAACTGAAAACAGAGTCGATAGTAATTATAGCATAATTACAGTGTCCGACTACTTTCTAGTTCAAAGCAGTATAATTTTGAAGATATCAATTCTTGCTTTGCATATGAATCATATAGTAAAGAATATCATTCACCTTCTCAGAGAAGAAAATCATTTTTTTATAACTGAGCCCCTATCAACACCCTGTCTCATAACATACAAAGCATTTCTCCTCTTCTTTGAAACAGCCCTTCTGCCACTATTTGCTCTTAATATGGCATTAAAATGGCTAAAAGTAGCAGCTACTGTTTTCTAATGAAGTATATTCTACTATCCTCTTTCAAGAAGAAAAGCTACAAGAATACCGTGATGGCGATATTTCTATAGGAAATTTTTATCTCAACATATCCACACAAAAATAAAAACAGAAAAAGAATACATACCTATGATACCTCAATTGCAAAGTACTCCCCGTGAGTGATTGGATTGCATTAGGTGACCATCTGCAAGTCATTTTAGTTAAGTACCCATCAGTTTCACATAATATATTGATATTGACATCTATTTAAAACACATAAAAATATTAATATGCAGCAAAAATACCAAAAGAGTGCTTAATGAAAATAAATGAGACTCTAATACAGAGTCCCTAAGATAAATTTATCTTGTGGAACAAAAGGAAGAAAACCTCAGTGTGCTTACCAACCACATACAATTCAGCATAGCGATGGTGGCACTCATGCTCGTTGCAGCAGTACACTGCATCGTAGGTGAACTTTCCTCGCAGTCTGGTTGCATTCAAACTGGGAAGAGTAACTTTGCTAACACGGTCACCCACAATGTTATACTGGCTTTCAGGAATTTTCTTGGCTAAATTCATCCACCAAACAATATTTTTTGAGGAAACAATCTTGTTTTCATCTTTGTAGATGCAGTGAAAAGAAACATTAGACCCAACACTTGTCAGAATTTTAGGTGGAAAGTATATGACATCTGTAATGAGGGAAGAAAGGTAGAAAATCCGATGAAGAAAGAAAACATTGTGTAAACAATTTACTATGTAAAAAAAATTGATAAAAGCATTCAGGGATGACACTGCCAAAAACAAAACAAGTGTGCTAAGAGACTGCATAATTGTAACTGCCTGTTTGTGTACAGCTAGTTAAGATCCCAAGCACTCCCATTCTCAAATACTTGACCTTCCATAAATATCTTCAGTTTTATTATAATACTAGAGGCCCGGTGCATGAAATTCGTGCATGGATAGGGTCTCTAGGCCTGGCCAGTGATCAGGGCCGATCAGGTTCCCTGCCTCCCTGCCTCCTCCTTCCCTCACTCCCTTAGTGCCCCACCATCACCATCACCGCTGGTCACCTGCCATGTTCCGCGCCACCCCCTGGTGGTCAGCGCACATCATAGCGAGCGATCAAACTCCCGGTCTTCTGGGCGAACTCCCAAGGGGACAATTTGCATATTAGCCTTTTATTATATAGGGTATGATTTCATGAATAATGGTCACTTGCTAAGTGATAGGTAGAAATTTAACGAAAGTGAAATGTAGTCTAATTCCACAATGACTTGTCTTCCATGAGACTTTGCTTTAAGAATCAGTGAAGCTTAGGGTGAGTTCTTAAATCTCTGTAAGATAACATTCATCCCTCCCTCCCCCCAAAAAATGGTGGACTATTATCTCATTTGGATATATGAAAATTTCAAATTAGTAGGAAAGGTATAGAAATAAGCTTTAAATAAGAAAACTAGTTAGGAAATGTAAAATTAATGCACCAATATACAAAGCAGGTCTGTATATTACTGCTCTGTAGCATAATTTTGAGTTATTTTATTCCAATCTGTGTTTGAAGACAAAGCGAACCCAAACTTTTCTAAAATATTACTTTTAATGTCTATACACTATTCCATCCTACTTTTTCAGTTCCCTGTTATTGGAAACATAGTTTGTCTGTGCTTTTAATTAGAAATAGAATAAAAGTCAACAACTGTTAACAAAGGAAGAAATTATTTCTGCCAGAGTGCATTATAAAATCAGTATATTTAAGGTAAACCATTTTCTGCTGATAACATATGAATATCTGTTTTCTTACATAACATTTTTTGGGTTATCCCAAAAAACAAAATCGAAAACACTTCATTGGTTTTTAAGTTTTCTGCAACAGCATGCTAAACTCCAATATCTTTATATTTAAAATCTACGCCAGCCATTGGCAGTTAGACATAAACAGGAAAAAACTCAGTAGCATGAAAGTACTGGACAGAAGCCAGTGCATTAGGTTTATAAACTAGTGTAGAGTGGCATTCAAGCCTCATAGTACATTACTTACTGCAAATAAGTACCTAGCCGGGACCTGAGAGACCATTAACCTACCTTCCATGTGCTCCACATCTCGTTACTCAGCTGCTTCAAAAGACTCAGAATAATCCATTTTTCAAAAGAGTACAAATGAACTTTTAAAAAGTAAGTTGAAGCTTTTTGTTTTAAAGGTAATAAACACACAAAACATTTCACTTCAAAATCGAATGCATATAATTAAGGCTTAACTGGGAAGTCGGATTAAAGTCAAAGTATTTTGGCATTATTAAGTGCTAAAATATTAGTTTAAAATAAGAAAGACAATTTATTAAAAACCTGACAATTTGTAAAATTTACATTAAACAAATGTATTGAAATTGATGGGGTAAATGTTGAATATTTACTTTTTAAATAATATAAATAAGGCCCTCGCCAGTTTGGCTCAGTGGGTAGAGCGTCGGCCTGTAGACTGAAGGGTCCCAGGTTCGATTCTGGCCAAGGGCACATGCCCAGGTTGTGGGTTTGATCCCCAGTGGGGGTCATGTAGGAGGCAGCCAATCAATGATTTTCTCTCATCATTGATGTTTCTCTCTCTCTCTCTCTCTCCCTCTCCCTTCCTCTCTGAAATAAATAAAACAATATGTATAGAAAAATATATTTTTTAATAAATATATCTGATTTTTCAAAATGTGAGTTAAGAAGCCCTGGCCGATGTGGCTCAGTTGGTTGGAGCATCATCCTGTGCACCAAAAGATGGCAGGTTCAATTCCTGGTCAGGGCACATACCTGATTTCGGGTTCGATTCCCAGTCAAGTCCCATGCAGAAGGCTACCGATCAATGTTTCTCTCTCACATCAATATTTCTCTCTCTCCCTGCCTTCCTCTCTCTAAGATTATTTTTTTAAGTAAGTTAAGGAAACATCAATACAAGTAGTGTTCTGAATTTGTGAGTTTGAAACTTTTATATTAACTGTACATTTTGAAAAAGAAAGTAATTCAACAAGATACTGCTATGGATGCATACACACCTGGGAGCTCTTATACATGTTTTCATTAACGAATTAGCTTTTGCAAAATTTATGTAGAAATGTCTTTCTGGTTTAGTGCCACAACATTTAATAATCTTATAATATACCAAACACAACTTCAAAAAACATATTCCCTTTTCAATAGAAGGTACTCTTACAAAAACCTACCTTGTGTGGTAAAAGTAAGAGGGGTGCTCCAGTCACTCCAGATGCCTGGGCCATCCAGCCTCTTGCCCCTCACCTGAACCTCATACGAAGACCCAGGAAGCACACTGTCTATTAGCAGAGATGTGGCTGAGACGATCTCATCAGCCTGTTAAATATTATTTGAAAACACCAAAGTATCAAGTCACTGTGAGCCCTTTACCCCTTGTGAGATCACAAGCAAGTCTCAACAAATTTCAAAGAATTAAAATCTTACAGAGGAGTTAGCTGGCCACAATGGAATTAAACAGAAATTAATAACCAAATAACAAAGGTTGGTACATTAGTCAATAAAATTTTACATAACCCATGAGTCCAAGAATCACAATGACAATAAACAAATATTTTTAACTGGATGATAATGAATATAACTTTTCAAATCTTGAGATATATAGTGTCAATGGGAAGCGTCATGCCCCTGCTGACAACTGGAAAGCACATGGTGGAAATGATGGGCAGGGTGAACAGAGAACAGCTTTGTTCCTAGAGGAAAACGTCACAGATGGAGGGCATGAATAATTTTTAAGAATCTTAGACTGATGATAAACTACAGTGAATCAAAATACAGTTTATAAAGTAGAAGGAAAATATTTAAGAGATCTAACTTTGCATAAAGCACCAGCAAAGAATTGCTTAGCGAATAAATTCGGTTTCCTAATGATATACTCTAAAACTATTGGGCTTCCCTGTGTCTTAGACTTCAAGGCGCCATAGAATGAAAATGATGAAAAGCATTAGGAACCCATTAAACAATATCAGGTCACCTATAGTATTTAAAATCCTATTTTCTCAATTTTACAGATCAGAAAGCTGAAGCCCAGAGAAGTCTTAACTCTGGTTTTCCATACACATCATAAAAGAATTCCCATCCTACTCTTTATGAAAATAAAGTCTTAAAAAAAGTTGTCCTAGATCTAAGAAAACAGATATTTATCTCTAAATCACAGAACAATTAGTTTCACAAAGTGCCAAAGTCCATGCATGGCCCATGAGGTTCTTAACAATCTCCTTGCTCTCCTCCCCTAACCTTCTTGGTTTTATTGCATACTAGAGGCCCGATGCATGAAATTTGTGCAAGGGGCTCAGCCCTAGCAGCCCTGGCTGCCTCGGCTGGCCCTTGCAGCCCCTTGCAGCCCCTTGCAGCCCCTCACAGGCCCCTCACAGCCTTGGCTGGCCCTCACAGCCCTGGCTTCATCCAGAAGGTCATCCGGATGGTTGTCCAGAAGGTCGTCCAGATGGTCATTCTGCTGTTTGGTCTAATTAGCATATTAACTCTTTATTATATAGGATTAGCTGATTGATTGGTTTTGATTGAGGTAACTTGTTAGTAACATTATATTGGTTTGGGAAACTGGACAGACACATGCAACAGAATGAAACTAGACCACTATTCCCTTTGATTTTATCCACTTTGATTCACACTGTTACCCTTACTCTCATTCACTCCCCTGGCCTCCAGCCTCTCACCCAGGTTAGAACCTCTGAATGGCTGTTTTCTCTATTTGGAACCGGATTCCCCCACATATTTACACTGCCAGCCTCTCAATGAAATCTTCCCCTACCTCCATTTAATGCTATAACCCACCGTCTCTCACCAGTACTCCCAAACTGCTCTCATTCTGGTCTACTGCCTGATACAAGCATGGCAGTTCTTGATATCGAGCAGGAGCTCCACAAAAACTTACTGAGAAAATCAGTGCAAGTGCATACACTGCACTGCATGTAAATAAATATACTAAGCAATTTTTAAAAGGATTAAATGTAACATCAGAAATCAAAGAAGATCGGTAGGTGAAAAAATTATAAATGAATTCAAGTTTGTGTAGTTGGACTTCCTGTAGCCATTTAACTGTGTGTGTGTGTGTGTGTGTGTGTGTGTGTGTGTGTGTAAATGAGAGGAAGAAAGAAGAGAGGGGAGGGGAAGAGAAAACAGGGAAAAGAAGAGAGATCAATTTAATATATATAAACTTTTTTAGAAGAGGAACTTTCTCTATCAGTAAATTCTAGAAGGAATTTGTCATGCTCTTCAATATGTAACATAGATCCATATATAAGCAACACTGAGTAACGTCAAATAATTTTTCTAAAAGCATTTTACAGAAGATGCAGAAATGCTGTTCATATGGTAAGTTCCTATGCTGATCTTAAATGAAAGCCAGTGGTGCAATGTTAAGTTATAACGGATCCTGCTCTACAAGGAGCAGGCATATTTGGTATGCGGAGAGCACTTTCTATGGGACATAGCTGAGTCTCACCTTTACTTTAGTTGCATCTCAACTTTTCCTTTACTAAAATATACTTACTTCTCTCATACTTGTAGAATTCTCTGAATATTTCACTTCATATTGAAGTTGAAACGGTACCGATGTTGAACTGGACCAAGAAATCTTTAAATCACCACTGTCTGTGATTTCCATATGCAAACCTAATGGTGGATCGGGCTTCACTTAAGAAAAAAAAAAAAAGGAAAAAAAGAACATGTTTTAAGTCAAGCGTTTCTTGTGATAATCATAAAATGAAGTCAAATTGAAATTTTAGCACATCTTGTTCTTTCAACTACTTAAAAGGTGACCTGGAGGACAAATTACTTGAAAGTCCTAATGTTAAGATATAATGTCATATGCAGATTCAAAAAGTGATATATCCCCAATAACTTAGAAGTAAAGGAGAAATTGTGAGGAAAATTGTTTCAGATACCTAGAAAAGTGACTCTAGTGATGTCAAAAACAATGATGCAAAGATACGAGTAAAGAGTTAATATATATCTACCTAAGGAAATATGAGCTGAAAAAAATAGTAACACTGTTAAATTATATATTATATAATTATATATTAATAATTAAAATATATTATTTAACATATGTACACAAAACTGAATTAAAAAGTTAAATATTTTAAGTTAACATTTACTTATATTAGTCACATTTGTAGTAACATATTCAAGCTGGTCAAAAAATTTAGGGGGATCTCTGCACTGAAAACATGGAGCATTACTTATTATTTGAGTTTTTCTTTTGCTCAGATTTGTATAGAAAATTACTCCTTGTTTACTTTTTGTTCATCTCTGCCCACTATTATTTGTCCCTACTCTGTGAGGCAAGAACTTTGTCTCATTCACCACTGTTTTCCCCGGCTCCCAAATCATGAGCCTCTAAGAAATATTTATTGAAGGAATAAATCCAGGCAAAAAAAAAAGCTCCTACTTATTTTCATAAATAGCTATCTGAGATGTAAAAATGTGATAACCAAATACTTTATTAGTATATCTCATTAGACAGAAAAAGGATTTAAAGAAATAAAATTGTTTTCAAGCAAGAATTTAGGTTACAATTGCAAAGATAGCAATACTGCTGTTACTACTGAATGACTGAATGCTACAACCATTCCAGAAGCTGCTCACTATACTCCCTGGCACCACGTTTACCATGATTACAGAGCTGGTGAAAGCGAGATAAGCTAGTGACAAATTTTGTAAGCCGTGTTTAACCTATTTGTATGACTCATGTTTAGATCTGTGATTTTCTTATACACAACTTACCGATAGTGATGGGTTGAACTGACATTAAAGGTGACTGAAAAACCACTCCCCCAGATGTGATTTTTAAATACATAGAGAGAGTGCAGTTGAGCTTGGCTGCTGGCACAGACACATGGCATTCACAACATTTATGAGCACTGCAGTTGCACTGAACAAGCCGGAAACTGCCTTTCTGGGGGACCAGCGGTGATTCTTCTGACACTTCAGGCCTATGTGAAAAAGGAGAGGCAAACATTAACATAGATGTAAAGGTACTGACTATACTTAAAATGTAGGACACAAAATCCAAATTGAAATGAGCTATTCTGGACACCCAGCATAAAGGGCATCGGCAAAGCCATACATTATATCAGGGAAACAAAGATAAGGGTCAAAGCAGGTTAGCTGTCAGAAATGATATAAGCAAGAAGAGAAGTACAAAAAGGAAAGAAAAATTGCTATCCTAAAATCCTATACCCAATATAAGTATCTTTCAAAATAAATGTGAAATGACGACTTCTTTGCTGGCGTACCAAAACTGAAAGAACTCACCACCATGAGACCTGCATTATTAAATATGTTAAAGAAAGTCCTTCAGGCAAAAAGAAAATGAATGATAGCAAATGAAAGTCTAGTTCTACACAAAGAAATAAAATTTAATGGAGGGTAAATATTTACGGATGATCTAAAGCAAAAATAATTACCATGTAGTGTGGGGTTTATACCATAAGTAGAAGTAAAATGTGTAACATTAGCACCAAGCTTAGAAAGGGGGGAGATATGTTATTATGCGGTGAAGTGGTGTAATATCACTTGGAGGTATAATATCAGGCTATCTTATAAATCCCAAAGCAACCACTAAAATAATAAAACAAGAAGTTACAGCAGAGGGAGGGTAGAGAAGGGAGGGAGGGAGGATAAAAGTTCAACCAAAGGACTTGTATGCATGCATATAAGCATAACCAATGGGCATAGACTGTAGGGGGATGAGGGCTTGTGCTGAGAGGTGGAGTGGGTGGGGAGAGGTTAATGGGAGGAAAGAAGACATATGTGATACTTTCAACAATAAATAATTTTTAAAAAAGAAGTTATAGCTAATAAGCTACAATAATCAAGTCAATGGATATTAGTGTAAAGATAGAAAAGCAGATTACTGGAACGGAATAAAGATTAACACCTATATGGACAACCAATTTTCTACAAAGGTAAAGAAGCAGCTCTGTGAATGCAGAATCTCAGAGGGAAGGCGGAGGAGCATGGGTTGTTGGGAAAGTGATCAAAGAACTTGTATGTATATGTGTAGAACCCATGGACACAAGACAGTAGGGTGATGAGGGCCTAGGGCGGGGGGTGGGGACAGGCCAGAAGGGGTCAATAGGGGAAAAAGAGGGGACATACGTAATACTTTCAGTAATAAAGTGTTGTGGGTTTTGTGGTATTTTTGTTGTTGTTGTTGTTGTTTTGTTTTTTAAAAAAGCAGCAGCTCTGGGTGAGTGAGGCAAGCAGAGCCAGAGACTAGACCAGAGGCCGAACTTGGGATCTGACAAGATGGCCAGGCTGCCCCACAGGATTATCAAGGAAACCCAGCATTTATGTTTGCTGGCAGAACCAGTTCCTGGCATTAAAGCAGAACCAGATGAGAGCAACGCCCGTAATTTTCATGTGGTCATTGCTGGCCCCCAGGATTCCCCCTTTGAGGGAGGGGCTTTTAAACTTGAACTATTCCTTCCAGAAGAATACCCCATGGCAGCACCTAAAGTACGTTTCATGACCAAAATTTATCATCCTAATGTAGACAAGTTGGGAAGAAAATGTTCAGATATTGTGACAGATAAGTGGTCGCCAGCACTGCAGATTCACAGCTCTGCCATCCACCCAGGCTTTGTTAAGTGCTCCCAATCCAGATGACCCATTAGCAGATGATGTAGCGGAGCAATGGAAGACCAGCGAAGCCCAAGCCATAGAAACAGCTAGAGCATGGACTAGGCTATATGCCATGAATAACACTTAAATCGATCTCATCGTCAGGTGTGCATCACTTCTTCTGTTCTGCCAAGACTTCTTCTTTTTTTGTTTGCATTTAATGGACACGGTCTTAGAAACATTACAGAATAAAAGCCCAGACATCTTCAGTCCTTTGGTGATTAAATGCACATTAGCAAATCTATGTCTTGTCCTGAGTCACTGTTATAAAGCATGAGCAGAGGCTAGAAGTACCGTCTGGATTGTTGAGAAACATTTAAAAGCATTGCTCCCTCTCTGCTTTTATTCATTCCCCCCTCCCCCATCCCCCCGTCATGCTTTAAGTATAAAGCACTGTGAATGAAGGTAGTTGTCAGGGTTAGCTGAAGGGGTGTGGGTGGTTTTTTTGAGGGGTAGGTAGTTTAATTTTATGGGCTCCTTTCCCCCTTTTTTATGGTGATCTAATTGCATTGGTTAAAAGCAACTAACCAGTTCTTTAGAATATGCTCTTTAGCCAAGTCTACCTTTATTTAGACACTGTAGGTGGACAAGCTTGATTGTTTGAACCAAAATGGGAACATTAAACAAACACCACAGCCCTCACGAATAACACTGTGACTTTGCTGTCAAATGTAGGCCCCCCCCCCCTTTCAAGCAAAGCTTGTGACCATTTTGTATGGCTTGTCTGGAAACTTCTGTAAATCTTATGTTTTATGCCGGAAGCTGGTCCATCCTTGCTGCTTGACACAGTCGCTGCAGTATAGAAACATCTGCACAGCATATGTTTCAAGGGACCTGGCGTATATAGCATACTGTTCTTAATATGTTTGCTCCCCTTAGCGCTGTGTGTTTTAACCAAGGTCACCTCTCCGAGAAAGGTTGTTTCCCCAGGTAGGGATTTTTCCCTGAAGTTAGGGAGGGGATGAAACTCCTTAACTAAGTGCCAGGCGGGTAGTTAATCACTTTAACTACAAACAATCATACTTAAGCTACATAATCTTTACTCCCTGGAGTGGAGATAAGAAACGCCCTAACCTTTGTAATAGAAATTGACAGGATTAAAATCAACTGGTATAAATACGGATGTAACAAGACAATAAACAGCAGAACTTCGCTGGAGATCCAGACCAGAACTTGGCTGGAGATCCTGGCTAGAGATCCTGGCTAGGCTGCTGATCAACTGAACGCTGTCTCTGTGTCATTCCTTCTTCGCCGACTCCATCCACACCTTTGGGGACCCCTGGAACTGCTGGGGTTGGACCCCGGCATCTGGCGCCCGAACAGGGACCCCTTAGGTAAGTCCCCCCGTACTTGGGACAGATAGGACTGCACCGTAGGGTGCTTCAGACCCCCCCCCCCCTATAGAGGATAAGTAGGGTAAGCGGGTAGTTAGTACAGAACTTAGATTGACAAGATGGGTCATACTGAGTCTAAAGAAAAAAGACTCTGTATTAATCTTTTAACGCATATGCTTACTAGCAGAATTGGAGTTAAGGTTACTCCCAGTCAGAAAGAAAGTTTTATAGAAGAAGTATGTCAATGGCTTCCAGAGGATGGAACTGTTAATTTAAAAACTTGGGTTGAAGTAGGAAAGCAATTAAAGAAACACCATGGATCTGAGAAGGTCCTGCCATGTTTCTTTTCCCTCTGGGATTCAATCTGTGACACCTTGGCACCAGAGGCAAAAACGGTTGAACTTTCTCAAAATTTAAATAGTCCCTCGGCTCCACCCAGAGAGGATACATCATCATTGTCTTCAGCTCAATCTAAAAGCAATTTAGCTATGCCTACTGATCGGGAGGAGAATAAATATCATATACATGACCATTGGTCCTTTCCAGTCAGTAGAGAGGAGAATGGCCCTCCCATTCAAAACAGGCTCCCCAAATTAGAAAGGAAGCCTAAACCAGGTCCTGTGGCTCCTATGAGCTCCATGTCTAAATTTCAAAGGGCGATAAGAGAAGCTGAAGCTAATGGAGATCTTGAATTCTCACTCTGCTTCCCAGTTACATATGAGAATGAGTCTGGTGGGAATAGAAACCCCACCTTGGAGCCTATACCTTACAAAGTACTTAAAGAATTAAAATTGGCCTGCTCTGAATATGGACCTCTAGCTCCTTACACACAAACCTTGGTAGAAACCCTAGCCAGTAAATGGATGACTCCTTATGATTGGTCACAGGTTTGTAAATCCTGTCTCTCAGGAGGCGATTACTTATTATGGAAAACTGAATATGAAGACCTTGCTAAGAAAGCTGTAGCCACTAGCGAAAAAACCAGAAAAGGAATAACCCTAGACATGATATTAGGAGAAGGTGATTTTAACACGGCTCAGGAGCAAATGAATATGCCCACAGAGGCACTTACCAAAGTAACCAGTTGTGCAGTAAGTGCCTGGAAATCCCTACCTTATACAGCAGGAAAAACCACCACCCTTACAGAGGTTAAACAGAAGGTCGAGGAACCATATCAGGATTTCCTTTCTCGCCTCATGCAGGCAGTCAAGAGAGTAATCAATAACAAAGAGGCAGCCGATATCCTAATCAAACAACTGGCTTTTGAAAATGCTAATAATACCTGTCAGGCTTTATTAAGGCCGATTCGCAGAACAGGAACTATAAATGATTTTATAAAACAGTGTGCTGATGTAAGTCCAGCATTTATACAGGGTGTAGCTATAGCTGCAGCTCTCAAAGGGGAGACATACCCTCAATATGTACAGGCTATAGGACAAGCCAGCAATAATACAGGTAATAAAAGAAATATGAACTGCTACTCTTGTGGCTTATCTGGGCACTTTAGCAGAGAATGCCCAAATAAAAATAATAATACTCAGGCCAGATGCCTCGACAGCCTGGAAATACATTAGGGAATAATATTAATCCTCCAAAAACCGTTTGTCCCCGATGTCAGAAAGGATTCCATTGGGCAAAGGAATGTAGATCAAGATACCATAAAAATGGTCGGCCTTTAAACTCTACAAATAGCTCCCAAGGAGGTCATATCCCATCACCTCAATTGGGAAACTTGAGAAGGAGCCAGCCCCAGGCCCCTGCAATAATAGGGGCATCAACCTTCAACCCCTCTGCAAATTTCGATCAGTCAGTGACCTCTTCAGGGCAACCCCAGGCAGTGCAGGATTGGACCTCCACTCAACCACCCATGCAGTACTAACCCCAGACTCGCCAGTAGCAGCCATTCCTACAGGAGTGTCTGGGCCGCTGCCTGAGGGAACCATAGGTTTAATATTAGGACGGAGCTCCACCTC